CATACATAAAGTCCTATACTTTGTTTGCTAGGAGTCAGTTAATTAAGGAGGATAATAATAAGATTTAACACTATGCTAGACTGGTAATTCAACTATGTTTCCTCTTTCTTCCATTGAAAATCAAAAGATACTGTAGAGATATTTTGCAAGCTGTAGCAGAAAGAGAGAAGGGACAGCCAGCTTTAAATTTGTTTTATATTGTAATATTTAACAAGTAACTTTTCTATTGGAGATATGCCACTCCTTTGAGTGAAATGACCGAATTGTGTTGGTTTATGTGGGGGAAGACTTTTTTGTGATATAGGAAGTACAGTACTCTTACATATAAAGAGAACAATAATTTAGGAGTGGGAGAAAAGAATAAAGGAAATTCCTTCTTGGGAGGAGTGGGAGCCCCTGGCAGGGGCAGGAGGTGGGGGACATAGAGAATTGCCAAGAAAGTTATTAATTTTTATTACAATATTAGATAAAATAGAAGCACTTTCCCCCCCCCCAATAAAATGGATTATTATTACTTACAGAAGTTCTGTTGTTAGCAAATATGGCTGTAAAATAGATTGTCTCTGCTTGGTTTATATTGTGACCCAGATATTCCTGTTCTCTCTGTTTTCCTTGAATTCTCCTCACGTGTTCAGGAGATCTGACTCAAGAACATCCATCTAAGCAAAATTTAGGTCCAATTCTATAGGCCATTGTGATTAGGGAGACAGTCACTTTCATATGTGTATTAATTTTTTGTTAGTTTCCAAGAGCCATTTAACAGAAACTATTTAATTTCCATCCATTCTATTTCTCTTACAACATTTGTAATTTATGCTTACTGATATTATTTTTCATGCTCATAGTTTCTCTCAACTGCCTTAGATTTTTCATGTGGATAGCCAAGAGAATACAAGAATAGCAAAGCTCCATGAGTTTGCTACAGATATAGATTCTAATGAGAACCCAGGGATAAAGGAATAGAAGAAGCAACACAGTTTCTGAATTTTTCATTTCTCATGGCTCAATTCTCATTTGTTGTGTCTGGAACTCATTTTGTCTCAGGCTTCATGGCCTGATGATTGTTTCTGATGTTAATCTAAATCCACACTTTAAATAAACTATTTGAGTTTTCATCTTGGTAAATGTCAAGGGAAGAAAAGATATTTCATGCACCTACAGCATCCTGAAAATCCTTGCCAAATGCATGAATCTGACTCTGCATTATCCTTCCCCAGAAGGAGAGCATAATTTCATTATCCATGAATCATCACCTCTTAGACTGTAACATCATTGTCAGGGAGCCTAATAGAACCAGTGTTCAGCAGGCTGAAGAAGGGGAGGAGGGAGAAAGCACTGAGGCAAAGCACAGGTCACTGGCACAATCAGCACACTGGAGAGTTCTAAAGTCCGCAAGGGAGGCCTCCCTCCCTTGATAGTTCTGATATACCCACTGACCAGTAAATAACTGATGCTGATTCCATCAATATTAATATTGAAATGTTTTCCCCAACCTAAATTCATTATATTTCAGTATCCTGACTACGATAATATTAATTCTCTTAATGAAAATATCAGAATGTTTAACCAGCACTGATGAGTATACACACTGCAAAATACTTCTTATCAATTCTTATTGCATTATTACTTACTTTTCATCTTTGGACACTTATTTCTAGCCCTTAGTACCAGTTTTAATGTTCTGGCATTACTTAAAATGTCAATATGCAAAATAAAACTTTCAAAAGTTACATTATAATTATATTTCCCAGGGAAATAAACTGAATGAAATTCAATATAATGTGCAGATCAAAAAATATATGTTATAAACCATGTTTACATAGGGATTCAGAATAAAAATCTAGTGTATGGATAGCTGTGGTTAGTCTAACCAGCCACTGGAGGTCACTGCTGCTCCACAGATATACACTTTATTGCACGTCTACTTGGGTAGTTGACTCACCAAATCAAGTTTAAAATGGTTTAAATTCTTTGAAAAGATGTAATGTCAACATCCTTGGAAAATACAAACTCATTTAATATATCTTGCATAGGCATTGCTTAGAAGACTGTGGCACTGGGACTATTCACTCCATGCTGCGGTGGTAGCCCTATGCATATTGGGGTTAATAAAAATGGAAAAAACCCCACATGCAGTTCAAAGAGACTAAACTCTATTTCCCTTCTTTTTGTAAAGAACTCAAAGTGCTAACTGAGTCCATTCCACATCAACGCATCTCTGTAGTTTAGTGTTGTCACCTTTGAGGGAAGTCAGATATTTCATGTAATTAGCACTAGAACAATGAATATCAATTACATTGCTCTAATATACATTGAGTTTGAAATGCTTATGGAAACAGATTTATCCTATGTAGTCCAGAAAGTGCCAGGGCGTGGAAGTGAGGGCAGCAACTTCGATCAGGAGAACATTCGCCAGCTGGCTTCGTTAAGTTTATGTGGTGACAAGTTTATGTGGTGACTAATTATTGTTTAACCTATAAGAATTATATATTTGTGCTCAGAAGATACCGAAAACTACAGAAGCTCCATTCCCAAAGGAGGGGGGGAAGGAAGAAAGAACTTTTTTCCTTGTAATTCTTATGTCCCAAATCAAAATGAGTTTTACCACCTAAAAGATTTTATTTTGGTGCTTATCTTTTATTAAATTTATAAGCAGTTCAAGTTAGGCGTTAAAAATAATCAGCCTTCAAAACGTTGGTCATTAATTTAATCTTATATCACATTTTACACACTGAGTTGCTTTGTTTTAGAAATACTTTTCAATATAGCAAGCATATTTTATATATACTATTAGCACCACAGCATCAAGAGTTTGCAAGAATTCAAAAATGTAAATATAAATATGCCTTGCCTAAACATATTTGGTATCCATCCCAAATGAGGCAGAAGTTCAAGTCAAATAATAGAAATGGGCTTTTTTACTTTAACACTGCATTTAATTAATACAGTCATCTTCAGTACAGATAAAAATGATCCTGGTCAAAGAAGATTTCTTTTTTAGATGGAATATGTATTTACTGACACTTTATGAAAAATATAAAATTACAACTTCAGGGAAAAACACCACAGTAAGCTCAGTCATCCAGTTCATAATGCTGTAATGAAATATCTGCATTATTAACCACTTGGGAAATATGTGACTATTTGCCATTAACAAATGTATATTCAACAATTATTCTTGGGTAAACATTGTAGCTATGATGTTTCTCTGAACTGGCATCTATTTTAAGATTTAATAAAAATCCAAGAACGTTGAGAAATCCACTTAATGTTTCTTTATTGCTTATAAAAGCATGATTTTAATAATCTGGCTTCCTCACAATTATATTTCATGATGACTTGCCCAGATTTTTCCTCTCAGCATATGAAAAACCTAAACTATATAAAAATTCTGGTAAAAATAGCGATTCACTTTTTCTTTTCTGCTGCAGTGATTCTGTTTTGAAAGAACAGGGACATGGTTAAAGATGTGGGGCTTGGCAAGCCAAATTAAATGAAACAGACTCAATGTTGCAATTCCTGATGTTTGCTCCTATAATAGAACTGTTCATTTTAGAGAATGAAAGCAGATACAGACTAAAGATATTTTTCTAAAATCTTAATGGACTGTAGTTCAAGTTACTTAATACAGAGGCTCTGGTATTTGTGCTGCAGTCAATAAACTTTCACCAATGACATAAAAACATGCATGCAGCTTGCAGATTGCCAACAGGGTCTGTACAGAATTTTACTAATGGATGAGTTCACAATACGGATGAACACAGGGACATGGTAAAGTCAGCAATAGCAAAGCAAAAGAGAACTGTCATAGTGTTGATCTTTTTCCTTCCAAGATTTATTTAATACATTTATTAAGGTATTATCAAAGTTAATCCTTTCAAGGAGGCTGTTGGTGGAAAGATGTCTTAGAATGTGTTCTCTTTACCCATTTGAATAAAGTGTCAGTCATTAAGGAACCAGTGTGTGCAGGGCACATAATGGAACACAACAGGACAGGCTGACAAATCCTGAACAGAATGGGAGAGAGTGAATGATTCCGCTGACTGCATCAGGGTCTTTGAAAAAGCTGGGAAGAGAAAGCTCCCAACTACATGCATGTAGCAAGCTGCCTATCCATTTGCAAATCTTACCTCTGAAGACTCCCTAATGTGAGGAGCTGTGGAGAAATCTGCCTCCTCCAATTCGCCTCTTGGCTATTGAATTAATTTATTTATTTAGGAAATGTACAGCCTACAAGGAATTGTTGGTGAAACCTCTAGTCTGATTTTACAGAGATGGGTTTCAGAGACAAGGCTTCAAGTCTAAAACTTTGTATTTTTACCATCTCCTCACATCTTGCAGTTGTCTACTTGCAGTATTTTAACCGTTCAACACCTCCCCTACGATTGCCTTATAGTAATTCAGACACTTCTGGAAACTGCTCATGGTGCTGTCTGCTTTAACCTGGCACCATCTTTTGATAGTTTCCTGCAATTTTCTTTTTAAGCCAGGATTGTTTTAAAGGTTCCATCTGTCTCCAAAATGTCTCTATACTCAAGTCATCTCCTAGAATCAGTTCAAGATCCGAGTACCTGGGATCATTCACCTTTTTCCTTGATTTGTCAAAGAACTGCAAACCTTTTGGAACTGTAGATTTGTTCCTACCAGAAGGAGAATAACAGCAGATATGGGAAATTACTATAAAAGAAGTTTTATCTTAAAACAAATGTGACATTAATGGATTCAATAAAGGGTCTTATACAATAGGCATTATATTAAGCCAGAGTTCAAGCTTCACATTGATTGTGGTATTTAGATTTCAATGGGCTGATTATGTATGAGAGGAAAATGACTAGTATTATGAATGCACTAAGATAGACAGGGAAGGACCTTGCCAGCAAAGTGAGAGAGGGGTGGAGTGGGGGAGGGGGCGCCACATTCCCTTTATAGTCGCCAGAGTTCAATAAAGCACCACTTATTTCCCAGCTTTTAAGAGCGCTTTTTATCACAATGGTTCATACCTCACACTCCCTGGAGCCTGATTTGTTATAGGTGCAGGGTCCCGTCCCATTCAGCAGCATCTCGCTGGTCTCCGTGTTGGTGGGTTTGTAATCTACATAAAATTCCTGGGTGCTGGGAGTCATTTGCTTTAGGGACTGTCTTTTCTTTTTCCTGTGCCTTCGCATGAGGGAGCGCTGCTGCAGCTGCTTCATGCTCGCAGGGTATCGCTTCCACGACACGTAGATAACGAGCAGGATGACAAGCACAGACAGGAAAAGGGCCACACTCCCCGCGATGATTTTATGGAAAGAGATGTGCTCTGTGTCAGCATCGGTCTCTGGGCTGGGCTCTGTGGCTCCCACCGTCGGGGGTAGAGGGGGCTTGCTCTCATGCTTCGGCCTGGGGAGTTTGGGCTTAAACGTCGGCTTCGGGAGAGCCCTGCCCAGATCAAACCTCTCCGTGGTACTTTTGCCACAGATGCTATAGTTCTTCACTGCGTCGATCACATTTACTCCTTGCAGCTCTTTGGGACTGGCACAGATGATTGTATTCTCCCTCAGACCTTTAAAACTTTTCAGCCAGTTTACCAGGGAACAAATATTTCTGCTGCATTCCCATATATTCCCGGCAAGGCTGATGTCATTGAGGGATATCCAAGAATCCAAAATCTCTTGACCAATAAATGTGAGCTTGTTGGAATCCAGGTTGAGGCGCTGCAGATTTGGGACACACTGGAAAACACTAGGTCCACTAAAAGCTTCGATCTCATTGCCTGATAAATCAAGCCTCTGTAATGAGCTCCAGGTCCAGGACATTGTCTGTCCTATGACACTGATTTTATTCCACTGCAAGTAGAGGTTCTGGAGGCTCACCAACCTTGGAAAAAGGGCCAGGTTGAGCTTGGAAAATTGATTGTGCTCCAGGTGAAGTTCTTTGAGTCTGATCATGCCAGCAAAGACATTCCTGGCTAAACTTCGGATCCGGTTATATCCCAGGTCCAAAAGTTCCAGGTTGCGACAGTCTTGGAATATTCGCACAGGGATGGTTCTCAGGGAGTTAGATCGTAAATGTAAACTCAGCAGCTTCCGCAAGCCCCGAAACTGTTCAGATCCCAGAGCATGCAGCTGATTATAGGACAGATCCAAGTTCCGTAAATTTGTCACAGGTCTGAAGGTATTGTTAAGAAAATAGGAGATTCTATTGGAACTCAGGATCAACTCTTTGAGTCTGCGTATTCCATTAAAAGCATTCTCGTCAATATTGCTGATATGGTTATGGTCAAGATATAGCCAGGTGAGCTGGTTGAGCCCTTTAAATTGATTATACTTCAGTTTTTGAAGGCTGTTATAGCGAAGGGACAAACCTAAGCAACCAGCAGATATACTTGAGGGTATCTCCTGTAATTTCTGAGATTCACAATATACCATTTTGCCTTCACACCTACAGCCCTTAGGGCATCCTCGTTCAGCAGAAGACAGCATTGTCAGTAAGACAGTGGGGGCTATAACCAGTGCTACAGCTGATCCGCTCAGTAGCCTAATTACATTGAAACCTGGAAATAAAAACAACTTAGAAAAGTTATCCCCCTAAAAAAGAATTCATTTTTTTAATCAAGCAAATATAGGCATTTTCATCTTAAAAGAGTTTAAATCTAGATAACAACATTTAACATGAAATACCATCTTTTTGTAATTTAAATGGAATTGCCTTTAGGTTTTTTTTTTGTTTTTTTTTTTTAACAGTTAAACAAGGAAACATGTCCACTAAGCAAGTGAATTTATAATTTTAGAGCAGAGCAAGGTAATCTCTAAAATAATTAAGGCAGAATTATTACACGGACTAGAGGTTTTTTTGTTTGTTTGTTTGTTTTTTAGAAGGAAAGAAGAAAAATGACAAAACATACCCATCCTTTGTATTGTTCAAAGGTCGTCCTTAGGTCTTTTGCTTTGGCTTAGGGGCCACTTGCATGACAGCCCCTGTCAGCTGCACTGTAGTGAGTCAGGGCTCGCTGACACCCAGGAAGAAAAATTGGACCCCTTGGGAGATGGACCGATTTTGGAACATTATTCTTTGCCAGCCACGCAGTACACTCCAAGAACAAATAAATCCCAACACCGCATTCGCAGCAAAACGTCAAAATCTTCCTAGGTAATAGGATCTTCATGGATATTACGTTTTTGCATCTTTACAGTTTTTTTTGGGGGGGGGGTGTAAAAAAAACTGGCTTCTACAATTTCTTCTTATCGGAAAACATGATGTATTCCTCCAGGCAATGTGGGGCTACCTGAACTGCCACATCTGTATTCCATAGCCCAGCAGTTCCCGTGATGAGCACCCAGTTCAGTCACAGAGCTGCGTTGAAGCCCAGAAGGCAGGAGAGCCCCGTACCGCACACACACTCAGCTTACTTCTGCAGACTGTCATTCTGAAAGCTGCTTGGACTGTTGCTTTGGTTTCAGTGAATGCAGTCTTATGTAAAGCTGCCCCCAGTGGTGAAGAACATTACGGGCATGTGCAGAAATGTCTCTCTTTTATCTTGCAAATGAGCAAGCTCTGTGCTGAAAATGAATGATTCTTTTAGGTGGCTCCGTAGGAACTGAATGGTCACCGTAATCAATAACTAGCAACATTTTCTGTGATTTCCAAATCTTGTTCTACAATTTGGCAACGTCTTTATTGTCTGCATCCACTTAATGACTAAACATGTGCTGCCCAGAGTTTTTCTGAAGCTTGACATTAAGTTCACACAGTGAATGTCAATTTTTCTTAACCTTAACATAGACTTTTAACTGAAATTTATAAAATGAATTATTGAGCTTTGACAGAGAAGCATTAACTGCCTACCTATTTGACCTGTTGGAGTCACAATGATTATATTATTCAAGGTGTCTCAGGATTCTAGAACATGTGCATTTTGGAATAGAGGGATAACTGATAACATACAAACTAATGGGCTCAATAGCATTTCTGTTTTTCCCACAAAATATATAGTTGGTTTTATGGCTTATGCTTTGATTTTTTGTTTTGGTTGATGTCATTTTTTTTTTTTTTTAATTAGAAGAGAAATAAACCATTTTCAGTGACATTTTTAGAGTCAAGATCATTTAGTTTATAATTTATCGATGTTGCTGCTATTTATTTACTAATAATATTTGTTGAGCACTTTCTAAGTGCTTTAAATGGGCTATCCGGTTTTATCTTTAAATTATAGTATGATATCCTCCATGTTAAAGGTAAAGAAACTGGGACTTGAAGAGGTAAATTGCTCAAGGTCAAATGGCAAGCAAGTTGCAGACTGAGATACAGAATCAAGTCACTCTTATGCTTGGACTGCTAACCACTAGACGATCTTGTTCAATAACATTGTTACCTTCATTTAAAAAATGAGTCAAGTGCAAATTAGGCTGATTAAGGGATTGGGACAGGGAAGTTGTAATCAACAAGTTCTTGTTTCTTCAATAGAATTATATAAACTTCTTTGGTCTGAGGCTCCGAAAGAAGTACTATTAAAAACCGAGGAGGGGAGGTTTAGTCTAGTGATTGAGTACAAATTTCGGCTTCTACATTTAAATACTGGATACAACTTACCAGCTATGTAATCTTAAATGGCTTATTTATCTTCTCTATGCTTCAGTTTTTTCATCTGCAAAATGGGCATGATAATAAAAACATACTTCATAGAAATGTTTTGAGAATTAAGTCATCTTAATATCTGTAAAGTACTTAGAACAGTATGTGACACATAATAAGCCTGTATTAGCTCTTTGAATAATGTCAACTTTATTGTATTTGCTGTTATTGCATGTTGTTTAGTACTGAATATTGACTATACTGTCATTAACTCCAAAGTACTAGTTTAACAAACACTTTATGTTGTGCCCAATGGATTTTCAAGATTCACTCAGTCTTTCCTTTGATGAGAAAATTTCCTATATCTCCATTATCTCCACTTTACCTTTAAGATAAACCTTTTGGTTCTATGGACTATGAGTAATAATTTTTTTCTTAAGTAATATTCTTTATTTTTATAGCAATTTTAGGCTTATGAAGATATTGAGCAGAAACTACAAATAGCTTCCATACCCCCCCCACGTATATACAGTTTCTCCCATTATTAATGTGTTACATTAGTGTGGTACATTTGTTGCAATTATGAACAGATATTGATATATTAACTCAGTTTTACGTTAGGGTTCCCTCTTTGTATTGTACAGTTCTATGGGTTTTGCCAAATGCATAGTGGCATGTATTCACCGTTAAAGTATCATATGAAACAGTTTTGCTGCCCTAAAAATCCTCTATGCTTTACCAATTCATTCCTCCTTCCCTTTCTTCCTTCTCCCCTAAAGCCCTGGCAACCACTGATTTTTTTCCCTAATAATTAATGTTTGATCCTTTCCCTCCCTAAAGCAGAATATGATAACTTCTGTCCCAGGAAGATGGCCATTTTGTTTACAAATAAATGTTATCCTTTAAACAGTTTGCCTTGCTAGTCTTTGCTAGGTGAATTGGCTGTGGAAACCCCTGGAGAGCTTTCATATTCTCCAAGGATAAGAAGTTTAGAAAAGATTAGTCATGATCATCATCTGCTATTTACAGGACAGTGGTTCCCCACCACCACCAATTATTCATGCTACAAATGCATATAAAGCATTCACAGAACTTGTTAAAAGACAGATTTTCCAATCTCTCCGCCAAGATTCTGATTCAGGTGGATGGACAATTTTCTCAACAGTTTTTGATAGACAAGTAGGTTTAAGAAACTCACTGCAAAAGAATGTTTAAAAATAATAAAATTTATCCTAGTAGGAAGAGAGAGTATGCAAACTTAGGACCCTGGAATTTAAGTTTCATGAGGACAAAGACAATGTTCTGTCTACTTTAGTTCCCCTAATACCTACAATAGCACTTGGCACAATATAGATCCTCATAAATATTTATTAAATACATAAATTCTTATGGGGGCCACAAGTGGTCATAAACTGGTTATGTAATGTTGATTTTTCTATACATGGATTGAGACCTAAAGATTTCTTTGGCCAGTGAGATTAGAGCCAATTTTGGAGAAAGCATTCGTAAAGGATGTGTATGAAAAGGCAAAAAAACCAAAAAGAAGGAAACTTAGATGATCAGCAGGTGATCTTCACTTTTCATAGAGACATCTCTTTGTAGTTAAACCATACATTTCATGAGAACAGTAAATATGCTTTTGAATATTCCCCTTGGGACAATACAGAAGGGTAACACTGAGCCTTTATCATTTAACATCCCAAATGGGGCTTGACAACTTGTATCTCTCAAAAAAGGCTGAAGGGAATCTTATTTATATCTTCTGTCATATCTTTGTTGCTTGAAAGCCTCTGATTTTTATCCTCACTTTCCCTGCTTCTCAATGGGAAGTAGCCATTGAGAGTTCTGCTTTGCCCAACAGCTGCAGAGGGCCACTCTAGGAAGGCTGGAGGACCCATCAACTTTGTGATTCTTGTGCTTCACCCCCTGGTGACAGAGTGTGGTACATAATGAGCCTGTGCTACTACATTTTCAGTAGAGGAGCCTATTGAGAATGTAATTCTCTTACTTGCTTTTCCAGGGACAAGTCTTCTTGTATTGTTTATAGTGAATAACATTCTCTGCTGAGTTACACACCTTGGTCTTAGTTTCCAGACATTTTTCTGGTAACTTGATACCTGATCTTGTCTTGCTCCATAGTTCTGACTTCACTCTCGTATCTCTTATTAGATCTTATAGTTGACATTTCCTGTTAATACCGACAATTAGTCTTTTTCTCTGCAGTAGTCACTAGCCAATCTTGGAGTGGGTTGGCCTTTAGGCACTCTGTGTGCCCCTGCCTTGGCATTAGCTCTTAAGCTGGCATCACCACCAGGTCTGTCCTGGTTCAGGGTAATGAAGTGCCTGAAAAAGAAAAATTATTCATGACATTAGTTGAGAAATTTAAAAATAAAATGATGTAATTCTAAGCCACACTGAATATTTGAGGCTGCAGAAATCACTCCAAAAACATAGAGTAGTCCCTCAAAAGAACAAACATGTTCTATAAGATTTTAGTAATTTACTGGTATACTTTTTAAAGTTTAACCTCCTTTTACTTGTAGACTACAGAAAGCTGATTATTTCTGATTTGCCTTTCAAAAGAAGCAAAATTATACTACATGATATATTTTGCAACTTCTTTTGCACTTAACACCATGTACAGAGCAAACCATAAACTATCTGACAAGTTAAATTTCCCTGATGAATCTAGGGCCTTAATGATTTATACAGTTATACAACATAGTGTCATCTATCTAAAGACATTTTTTAATTGCACTTATAGTACTTCAAATAGCTAAACATATTTTGTTTGAATTTGGTAAATAAATCAAATCTTAGCATATAATGCCAAATTTTAGTTCAATATGAAACTGAACTATCAAATATAAACTTACAAAATCAGGACCCAAGAAGGTATAGTGATATCTTGAAAGTGGCTTGCCTCAGAAATTTCATTTATTTAACAGTTATGTAGTATGAATACCTACTATGTGCTAGACATTGTTCCAGACACTTTACACACCAGTGTACAAAATAAAGTTCTATGTACTTTTGAAGCTTACATTCTAAAGGGGTAAGGTAGATAATAAAAAAGCATAAATAGTATATTAGTTGGTAGTATGTACTATGTAAAAAAGAAAAGTAAAAGTATAGAGAAGATTAGGTGTATAAGGGGTGAGGTCGATTGTAGTTTTAAATAGAATGGTTAAGGCCATTAAAAAAGTGGCTTGAGCAAATCCTTGAAGGAGATGAGCTTGTTAGACTTAAATACATATATGGAGAGTGGCCAGTGCAAAGGCCCTAAGGTGCAAGCAGATAGTGTTTTCAATGAACAGCCAGGAGGCCAATGAGCCAGAATGGAGAGAACAAGTGGTAGAGTAATTGGAGAGGGAGTCAGAAAGGTACTAGGTAATGGGTCATGGAAGGCTTTATTCTGGAGAAAATGGGGAACCAACTTGAGATTTTGTACAGAGTAAAGTTGTGATTAAGTTTTCTATTAAAAGGATCACTGCTACGGACTGAATGTTTTCACACCCCCCCCCCCCATTCATATATTGAAACCCCAACCTCTAGTGTGATGGTATTTGGAGACAGAGATTTTCTGAGGTAATCAGGTCATAAAATTGGAGACTTCATGATGGGATTAGTGGAATTGTAAGGATGAGAAGGGACATGAGAGAGCTTGCTGCTTCTCTCTCTCTGCTCTTGGGCATGTGAGGATACAGGAGAAGACAGCTGTCAACAAGAAAAAATCAGGCCCTGTCTACACACCAGATCTGATGGTGCCTTCATCTTGGATTTCCCAGCCTCAAGAACTGTGAGAAATAAATGTTTGTTGTGTGAACCTGCCAGTATATGGTATTTATGTTATGGCATCCCACATTGACTAAGACA